AACTTTAGGTGAAATTGCGAACAAAATTATCTGAAAATTTGGGAGAAAAATATTTAAACATTTTCCCAAAAATTCGTGATATCGCGGAGGAAATTTGGCAACGCCTGAGGGTTTATACGCGTTCTTCCTTAGCACGGCAGTATAGCTTCTGGCTGACATCAAAACCTGAGAATCTTTTTATTGAACCATACGAAACCGAAATTTTCAGGTGAGAGCAACACGAAGCTGAAGAAGTTTGAATTTTCTTTTTTACACGGAGAGCAGAAATTAAATACCTGGTATAACTACAATCAGGTGCCTATAATGGGGCATCAGTTTCTAATAGACCAAATTTAGAGAAAATTTCCTGATGGAAATCCAATGAAAACGGGACACTTTACGCTGAGGAGCAACATGCATATTTTAGCAATAACCTGATGACGCTCGCCAGGTTTTGAATTTCTACTCGTCATGTATGATAGGCCAAGAAGATGTCATAAGTCTGTGTGGTATACTGCCGTGCAAAAGAAGAACGCCGTATGAACATCCGAGAGTTGCCAAATTTCCTTTGATATAAGGTTTATTTTTGAAAAAAGTTATGAACATTTTTCTTTGAGATTTTCTGGAGCTTTAGGTTAAATTGGGAACAAAATTATTTGAAAAATTGGAAGAAAAATATTCATACTTCTACTAGGAAATTCGTGTTTTACCAAAGGAAATGTGGCAACGCTTGAAGGTTCATACGGCGTTTCTCTATAGCACGGCAGTGTAGGGTCTACGGTTTGTAACCATTGTGTTACACAGCACCGCACCGTTCCGAGTCTATCACAAGGGGACTTTAACGCAGGAGTAGAAAAGTAGAAAAGTACGATGCCCATTGATGGTAAGCCAAGGTGACGTTTAAATGCTGCAGCACGAAGTTTACTTTCACAGTGGAGGTAAAGTTATTTTTCAGGTAAAGTTAGTTGAATTTCTGCATTATTTCATCTATTAATTATGACTTGACAAAAAAATTAGTCTAGATGCGTGAAATCAAAAACTTTTAATTGCTTTAAATTTTTATCCTTATTAATTGTCGTTTCCTTCTCACATCTCGTCTCTTTCTCAACCTATAAACATAATTTTGGTTTTGTATTACTCTGTTTTGTTAATTGAAGTATGTGCGTTTGATGATGGCGTTTGCCAAAATGTATCGGTATGTCAGATTAATATAATACAAATTATGTAATTTCATGCATGCAGGCTACATGTTTGGAAAATTCTTGAGAGAAATTGAATGGTTTGAATAATTTTGCAACGTTGGAATTGGGTTACGTTCCATCGTACGAAATATGATGAAGAAGAAGTAAGCAGTTGCTGACTTTTATGAACTTTTTGGGATGATAGCGGGAGACGCATAAACGCCCACGAATATTGTGACTTAATTCCCTGGTAAGCTGACATGAGTGACAGGATAGGAGTGAAGAAGCATAAAACAAGAAGGAAACAATCTTAATCCAATTATTCAGAACAAGTTCTAAAGCCCATTTCTGATCTCTCTCTTTTCATGTGGCGGCTCGATAACATCATAAACATCATCGGCTCGGTTAATTTAATCATTTTATTTTATTTGATTTAATTTGGTTTTAATTAAATACTAAAATAATTTTATTTAAAATCTAAATTTAAATCTCTACATTTTTATATATTTTTTAATTAAAGATTATCAATCTTATTTAGGTATATTTGATATTTAAATTTATTTTACTTTAATACTTAACTTTTAAAGGTTTCTGTTGTGGCGGTTGGGAACCGTTGATTGAGGTCGTTATTTAGGTCAAAATTTTAGAGAGGAGTTTTGCCGACTTTTTACAATTTAAGAAATTCCGAAGAAACCATTTTCAAAATGCCGTAATTTGGGCAAATTTGGGAATTTATTTTCAAAACTTGGACTCATTTTAACCATAGAGTCATAAGTCAAGATCAAGATGACGCGAAGCATATGACCCGGAATTTGATTGAGGAAATTGTGAATTTTTGCTGAAAAACACATAGAGCTCGCCGCTTGCATTTTAAAGTTTTAAACTTTTTAATGTTTTAATTCGATATTTGTCAACCACTAAGGAAGGTGTAAGTGAGCGCTGAAACGTCTCGTATCATATTTCATCATGTTATCATGCTTTAATTTGGCTTACCGTGTCTTGATTTTACTTATGTGTGGGCTGCTCTAAATTTTGATTTGGATATTTTCCAATACGTATATATTCGCAATAAAATATATTTACATTGTACGACGTGTACAACGAAATAATTACTTATCTGAATGGCATTAGCTCGTGGTTTCTGACTACGTCGCATGTGTCGTCTCAAGCAAGGTAAACAAAAAGTCAGCATATGATATGGCAAGATTAAAAAAGCGCCTTCAATCTAGCGTGACGCAAGAAACGACACAAGAACACCAATAGTTGCTGATTCGATCATTTCCACCTCCAATCCTATTAATTCTGCCGTGCTGAGGAGGAACGCCGTGCGAACATTCGCGAGTTCTCAAATTTCCTTCAATAAAGTGTTTATTTTTGAAGAAAATTATGAATATTTTTCCTTGAAATTTTTAGGAACTTGAGGTGAAATTGCGAACAACATTATCTGAAAAATTAGAAGACAGATATTCATAAGTTGACTAGGAAATTCGTGTATTATCAACCAAAATTTTGCAACGCCTGAAGGTTCATACGGCGTTTTTCCTCAGCACGGCAGTATAATGGAAGGTTGGAAGGTGAGTGCATTATGTCAAAATAAACGTAAGTGCAAAATGAACGTAAGTACGAAATCTATAAAATATTACTCTTGATGTTTCACAGAGCAAGATGCATGCGGTAAACAGGATTTTTCAAGAGGAGAATGTCGTGACCAGCTATATGCGATGTGCGTGTCGTGACCAAGAATCAGACAAGCTATGGTTTCAGTTTTTCCTAACAGGTGAAGTGCCTGCTTTTTTGCACTTTTTCTTTTCGACCCACTTCCCACTCCTTTTCATATTCTACCCAACTTTGAAGTAGTTTTGAGCGAAAAATTTGAAAATGAACTAGCATCGTGAGTCCGAAATATGTTTCAGATGACAAACTCCAAGAAAAAATATTCAGGTGTCGAGTTGTGAATTGTTTTTCGTCCACAGAGGGCAGCACTGTGCATCGGTGAGGTAGACTTAACTAGAGTACCTTTATAGACAGAGCATGGCCATTTATGTTCCGGTTTTTCATTGGTCGGAGCGAATAGGCTGACACGATGCTCTTAGGGCCGTAAATAAACAAACTAGATGGCTGTTATCAGCAAGCAAGTTTGAGGTTATGCACATCTTACATCCTCTTGTGATATAGGCGAAAGGCGATTTAACAGTGTTTTCATGTGTTTTTTATGTGTTATTCGTAGATATGCTAATTTAAATTGTTACTGCCGTGTAATTGAAATTTTTGTCAAATTTTAGCTTCTTATCGATGTTACGGTGAGCCGCCATCTTGTTTGTTTATTTACGGCCCGAAGAGCATCATGAAGCCTAAAAACTCGTTGACCAATCAAAAAGCGGAACAGTTTTCCTGTAGTAAAAAGATACGAATGGTCATACTCTGTCTATAAAGGTACTCTAGACTTAACTTGGTGCGCTACAGATATCTGTGTCCTCCGGTCGTCCAGGAAAACAGATGACAGCCTCGTGGGAGATGCACCCGGTGGCGTTGAGTCCAGTCACGGCGATGACGCGCCCTGCCCACGGCTGCTCCTCCACTTCCGTCTCGTTGAGCCCCATCCTGGATGACGTCACAAAGAGAATGTCCAGGTCCCGACCGCCCCATATCATGTCCGTCACAAGCGCGACAGGTAGTTTGATCGTCCGCAGCAAAACCCCTCGCGTTGCGTCTATTTTCACGATCTGGAATGGAGATGTTGCATGTGTGAGGAATTTGCGATTTGACTATTGATTCTTTTGTAAAAGTTCGCGAGAAACACGATGCTGCCACTGATTTTCTCTGAGATCAACTCCCAAGCTCAAAAAAGCTCTCAAGCTGAGGCCAAAATGGAGGGGATATCCCACGCTATCCCAAGAGTCCACCTCTACATCAAGACAAACTCTCCATGCAAAGATAGGGAGCAAATACATTAGCAGTGATGCCGTGTTTTCAGTTTTGGCCGAATAAAGTGGCAGCCCCCAAAAATTGCCCCTCTCCCCCCCCCCCAAAAAAAAATTCTAATTTGTCTGTTTGGTGATTTTTAGAAATTTCCCCCAAGTTACAGTTACTGGTTCTGTAACTAAAACATCTTGCGTCTAACATTTCACTAAATGCACTGTGATATATAGGCAAAAAGTCAATCTGGCCCCTAAAAAATCTTCAATGGCCCCTAAAAATCGAGCTCGTTGCGCCACATGGTTCCTGAAACTCAAAGCTGGGTTTCGAACACTGGTGACAAGGCTTCATTTTTTTTAATTTTGAGTTCCCAATGGTTCTCAAAATCGACTCGAAGGAAGTAAAGGCTAAACATTCTATAGTTTTCTTGTAAAGTAGTATTTTGTCAGAAAAAAATCAAAATTTGTTGAATGGAGGTACAACATTTTTACTTCGAACGGTAACATTGGTGCCAATTGGACGTATTTCTGTCAAAAGCGAACTTTGTGCTTTAAGACATGAGCCCTGAGACCCATAAGAATATATGCATAACGGGGCTCACGTCATGATGCACATAGTTCTGTTTGATGGAAATACGTCCAATCAACTCACCCGATATCCACCGTACATTGCGACGTACAGGTTGTCCTCGGTGTCAATTGTCATGCCATGGGGGAGAAGCCCGGGAATCTTGTTCGCTTTAAAGTCAAAAACCGTCTCAGGATTGCCTGCAAAAAGAATAACGATTTGGAACAATTAATTTCAACGTAAAAGTGTTAACGAGCACGCCTATATCATCAAGGTATTTAATAACCGAGCGTAAATTGATTTTGAAAATAAACAGAAAAAGAATACACATCTTGATTGTAATTGCATAGAAACAAAAATTCGATGCAGTTTTCGATTTCTGTATCGAATGCGTGGTATTTTTCCGAACAAGATGCTGCTCTCATTTCTCATTGCTTTTTGGTTTATAAAGATTGATTTGAAGTTGAAGCTCTTCTTATCGCGATGCATTGTAGTTTTTTTTAAATTCATCTTTGTTTTTTTGGCTAAAAATTCAAAATCTGCCGAGATTTTTGACGTAATCGATTTGATATATCGCATACCAGGTTGACCACGTCAGAGAGCTTGACGGATATCACCTTAAACTGAAAATGGAGAATTCGCACACACAAATTTTATTGCTTTATCTGAAAGTGCCAAATGAGCTGAGTTCGCAGTATTTTTCATATTTTTTTTCTGACATGGGAAATAGGAGAAAAAATGATTTAAAAGTGAGAAAATATGCCACCTTGTGACGTCATCCGGCGGCATTTCCTATTTAAACACATGTATTTTAGTAGAATCGGTTATTGTATTATATCTCATCTAATAATTGCTCAATTTATGAATTAAGGGTATCTTCGTGTTCAGTTCACTCAGTAGATTCCACTTAAACACGAAATTCATCAAGTTTCAGACCCTTGCAAATTCTCCATTGATCCGGGTTGAACTCGAATTAGAGCAAACGACGGCACGAAATCCAACGATCTGGTGTCCACGGACGCAACTGCATTAGGACGATGGCGTATAAGGGTTTAAATAAGGGGGGTCCATTAAGTTTTCAAAAAGTTATCAGTTCTTAAAAGCTTAAAACGGCGAAAATTTTACTTTCCATGAGGCCCTTTACGGAAAGTTCGAATTTCACAGTTCCGAAAAAGTTACTCCAATTCCACGATGACGATAATTTAAACTTACTAATAACTCCAGTCCTTCTGTCGTAGTCGAATTTGGCCACTTTGAAGGTGCCACTATCGATGTAGTAGAGTATCGTGTCGTCCTTGTTCCACGCCAATCCGTTCGAAACTGTGACGTTGCTAATTTCTCTCTTCAAACCGCAAATTTCCGTGGAGTAGCTGTAGAAGCTCCCCCGATTAGGCACTCTCTCTGCCGGATTGGACTCTGAGGCTGGACCTCCAGTGCCTGTAAAATACGCATACACATATATTTACACGCACACCTACACTAGAGTACCTGTATAGCGAGAGTATGGACAGATGTGAAACTCCGAAAATCCATCAGGCCTTCACCGATGCTTCTGCGAATAAAGTTAGGGCCCAGAAATGCAGCCAACCTATATGAATTTCAATTATCCAGAACGATTTACTAACACTATTGTTACGAACCGTCCTTTATTAAGCACGTGTTTGACTCAGTTTTTGCATAAATTTACTCAATTTCGCGGAAGAACGCTCATTTCTGTACATTCTTTGCCATCATGGTTAGAATTGGAATCTGCAGACTGGCAGTGAAATGTTGTGCGTTAGAAGTTGGTTAGAAGGGTGGCTGCACTTTTGGGCCCTAAGCCCTCCATGAAGCGATCTGTCCATACTCTCGCTATACAGGTACTCTAACCTACACCCCCTCCCACACAAATTAAATACACATTGATCCGTACACATTTTTACTGATGTTTAGAATGAGTATCTTGCTCCGAAATCCTTCGACACACAACGTAATCAGTCAATGGTAGAGAGTAACCATGATGTAGATACTTTCAAAGCTTAAATCTTCGACAAGAAGAAAATACTGAAAATGTGGCTCGAACTTTGAGTTGGCGAACATTTAAAGTAGGGGACATTTCAGGGCGACGAAAGTCGAAAAATCAAGTTCATCATTTCCCCTGGAAGTTGTGTTTTCTTAATTCTGGATGCATTACTGCACTGGAAAAAAAAAGTCTGCTACGGTCAAGCCGTCTCGGAATCTTGAGAAAAAATCAGCTTGATTCGAGAATTTTTATCTTAAAATAAGCAATTTATTGCTAAATTCAAGATTCGAGATTCATAATTGCAGCTACCTTATAGCTTGGATCATCTGCTAGCTTGTATTAAGCAGCACAAAAATCTTGAGTCAAACCTGCTGAGTGCTGAGTCTTACATCAAGCCACCATGGCTGCTAATTCTAAGAAGTTGTTTCTTGATTCAAGATAATGTATACTCGATTCAAGATTCCTGGTTTCAAGCATGACACGAATCTTGGAAGTAGCTGAAAAAAGTAGACTTAAAGTAAGTTTGCAGCCAACTTCTTGAATTAAGTTTCCATTGGATTGTAACCACTCCGCCTTCATTTTCGACACGGGCATTAAGTTATACATTCCTACATTCTCAAGTCATTCCAGGAAATCTCCAAAAGCCGCGCATTTTAACAGTGCTGCAAACCGAGAACAAAACCCGCGGCAACACACGTTTTATCCCTTCGTTACGGAATTTTATGAAAAATGAATAAAACTTTCAGTATTTAGTATTGGATCCGAGCATTAAACGAAAAATAATTAAGATTCCGCCGGGTAGCTAATTTCAAGCAGCACGGCCATGCTTATTTCAAGCTATACGTTTCTTGGCGGCAAATTTAAGATTTTTTCCAGCTTGCTTAAAGCTGATTTTGATTTGTTTCAAGCTACTTTTTTTCCAGTGTGGGATCTGAAAACGTATATAGTCCCAATGTTTTTGGAAATATTTGTTTACACAGTTTTTCCTATTTAAATAAGTTTAGCTACTCCTGACGGTCGTGAGCGAGTGATGGTCTTGAGTTTCGAAACAAAAACTCAGCTCGTGGCTCCTTCTATGGAAACAAACAAATGAGCACCAGATTTCTAGCTTTGTTTATACCCTTTGACACCCAGAATATTTCCCCTCTTTCAGGAAGAACGCCGTATGAGCCTTCAGACGTTGTCGAGTTTCCCCCCGATAAAAACCGAAATTTCTGGGCAAATTGTGAATATTATTTTTCAAAAAGGCCATTCTGTACCCAATTCAATCTAAAGAATCTGAAAATTTCAAGGAAAAATATGCATGAATGTCGTCAAAAATACATGTTTTATCAAGAGAATTTTGGCAACTCTCGAATGGTCATACTGCGTTCCTCCTTAGCACGGCAGTAATATACACCGGGCCGCGGCTAACAAACCTAGAAAAATATTTGAAGAAAGGACTTTTCAGCTGGAAACACCACAGCCTCTTCCTGTTGGATAGCAATATTATTTACCTCGTTTTTGAAAATTACAACCGAGTATTAAGTTTGAAAATTTTAAATTTCAATTATATTTGATGAAGAAGCCGCTGGTTTTTTCAGCCAAAACGTCTTGGTTTCAAGTGTTTTTTCTTGCCGTGTTACACGCGATTTATCAAGAGAATTTTGCCAACTCTCGAATGATCATATTCTTCGTTCTTCTCTATCACGGCAGTACCGGTCGATTTTTATACGGCTAATTCACGTAAGAATGATGAAACTCACCGACCCAGAGTCGACCCTCAACATCGGTCTTGCCATCGTTGAAGGAGTTGCCAGGATGCTCGGATTCTGACTCAGGCCTGGCCAAAACGACGTAAGTCGACTGGGTCGAGACTCCGTCCCAGAAGAGGAGAACCAGGTACGGACCGAGCACGGCGAGAAATTGGTCCCTTGCATTCTTCACCGGAGCGAAAGCTCCAACCGTCTGATCTGAAATAGGGGGGGGGGAGTAACGTAGCATCGCATATTAGGTATACTTTCTTAGGTAGAAATATGTAAAACTTTCCCAATTTTGTGTTTTATTATAAGAAATTTGGCTACGTCTGAAGGTTCATATAGCGTTTCTCCTAAAGCCCGTGTCCCACGATAAAATGAACTCATCAAATGCAAGATGGCGGAGGTGCGTACTGGTTTTCGCCCAAGTCCGCTATCAAAAGTTGGCGAGCTGTCAAATGTTGATGAACCGCCATCTTGCATTTGATGAGTATTAGATGGGCTAATTTGATCGTGGGACACGGGCCTTAGGATAAACGCTGTATGAACCTCCAGACATAGCCAAATTTCTTATATTAAACACAAATTTATTGGGAAAGTTTTACATATTTCTCTTCCAATTTTGCATGCAGGCAGTTTTGCTCGTAATTCAATCTGTAATATCGGAAAATTTCAGGGCAAAATGTGCCTAACTCTCTTTCAAAATGAATTATTTGACCGGAGAAATTTAAAAGATTCAAATGTTCAAACAACGTTAAATTTGTCCCTTGCATTATTCAATCGTCTGATCTGAGTGAAAAAAAAGGGAAAAAAGGTAACATAGCATCGTGCCTGAGGTATACTGCCACGCTGAGGATTATAATGTTAATATTAAACTAAGAGAGTTGCTGTTTGGACAGATCTTATCATTTTTAGCTAATCTACAATAGGCAAACATCGAAACACGATTCTGTGACCAGCGCAACTGACCCATTAGCCAATTCAATCGGAATCAGAACGCGGATAGAACAAGCAGGCGTGAGGATGGACAGGTGCATGTTTAATTGTATCTCTTCAAATTGAAGGCAACTTGAGTTCATTCGGTTCCCTTCATTAGGACCATTATATCTGTAGAGTGCGAGATGCGACAAAGGGCAACTACGCACTACACAGGTCTCCGATATTAACTTGATTCCTCACCTTGAAAATAATTCTTCACAGGCAGGCCCGCCACATCCCATCTCCGGCCCTGGTACCAGTTTTAAGGTCCGGGCCCCAAGCACGGAGGGGGGGGGTCCGAGGGGCATCCCCCGAGAAATTTTAGAATTTATACGACTAATCGGACGCATTTTGAAGCTTCCATAAAGAATTTTTCCATCCATTTCTGCGGAATAATTATGGTTTTTTTTCTACTTTCAGCACAAAATCCTCGCGAATTGTTGCATTCAAAACATCTGGAACATTTTTATTTTATTTATTTTTGTTTGGGGGGGGGGGCATATAATACTATTTTCAGTTCTAAGAGGGCCAGGCCCCCCTGGACTCCCCCTTCGTTTGTCTATGGCAAGGGAGTTGAGCCATGAGCCATTGAAGTCGAGGATGGTGACTCTTACCATCTAACGACGGAAGAAAATGAGCGCAGTTACTAAAAATATCCCTCTGTACTGAAAATCTTGAAAGTAGATCGAAATTTTCCAGGAAGTGTACTTCTTTGAAAATTTAAGAAGAATTCTACAGTGCCCCAGCGTGTTTCTGAAAATCTATTCACCTTTTGCGAAATTTTTAGGGTAAGTTTTCACTTTTTCTTACGAAACAAGGGTTGCATGTGAATTCGTAGTGGTTTTTCTCGGATAATTAAAGTGCGCTACAGCTAGAATTGTATTTAGCAAGTAGGTGCATTTTCTACGAGGATTAAAAATAAACGAGTGGTACGGAATATAACAAAAGAATATGAACTATGCAAAACGATGATCCGGGTTTCGGAACTTGGCAGTTTTGAAAACGCCTTCAAATGCGGCGTGATACCTCACGCTTTCCGGAGAGTTCAAATAGTTGTATCATTGCGCCTTAGAAATGCGACGGAAGATTGCAATTGAAATAGCCTTCATGCACGCTGGGCGTGTCGTTTTCCTTTGACATTTTTGCATTGGTGAATGCATAGCTGAAGTGCGCTCCAGCTGGAATTGTATTTAGCAAGTGGGTTATTTTTCTACGAGGATTAAAAATAAAAGAGTGGTACGGAATATAACAAAAGAATATGAACGATGCAAAACGATAATCCGGGTATCGGAACTTGGCTGTTTTGAAAACGCCTTCAAATGCGGCGTGATACCTCACGCATTCCGGAGAGTTCAAATAGTTGTATCATTGCGCCGTATGAATGTAACGGAAGATTTAAATGGAAATATCCTTCATCACAGGTCCATCCACTCCCATTCCCAGATACTTTACTGAAGGTGATTCTATGTGGCCTGGGGTCAAGATTCGCAACTACGTTGCGCTGTAATGCGGTTTGTCGTGTTTTTGAGAAGCAATAATTATCGTTGCGTCAGAGTTAATGCAAGAAACTGATCCATAACGCGTAGCAGCAACAATACTGAATAGAATAACATCAAAGCATGGATTCAATAGGACTGCATTTTGCAATTAGGAATTATAAATTCCGGCCCGGTTTAAAAACAACGTATGTGCTATTAGTTTCCCTATGCACATACGTGTTTTTTCAGGTGAGCCAGAATTTATAGTTCCAAATTGCAAAATGCAGTCCCATTGTAAATTTATACCTGAAACTACGATTTCGGACGTCGCCCATTATGCCGTGCTGAGGACAAACGCCGTATGAAACTTCAGGCAGTGCCAAATATCCTTTGATAAAACGCGAATTTCCTGGTAAACTTGTGATTATTTTCCTCCCAATTTTTCAGATAATTTTGTTCGCAATTTCACCGAAAGTCTCTGAAAATTTAAAGGAAAAATATTCAAAACTTTCCCCAAAAATAAACATTTTATCGAAGGAAATTTGGCAACTCTCGAATGTTCATACGGCGTTTTTCCTTAGCACAGCAGTATAATGACTACGCGGAGATTTCCAAACACCTGCAACGAGATACGTGGATCACAGATTTGGGAGTTTCATCGATGACTAGTGGATGAAAAACAACTTAATCAGACAAAATACACATAATAAAATAACAACTTAATTTGGGGAAAAGGCTAGTGGACTACGCTAGTTTGACTAGTGGGCGCCCCTCTGACCGCCTCTAGGTCCAAACTCCCCGAAGCACTCAGGCCCAGGGTACCTTGGGCTCAGGGTGGCAAAATTTCATGAAAAATAAAATCTTGAAACTTCATATGAAATATTTCATGAAATCTCAGAAATTCATGAAAGACTTTGAAAAACACCGGTCCCTTTTCATGTTTCTCAAAATGTAAATATTGTGACTTTCCTCCATTTTTGTGTGCTTGAGTGCGGGTTGCATACTCTAGCCCCTGAAAGATATGATGTATTTCACAGCCTCGCGAAATTTCATGAAATATTTCACTGAAATTTCCAATCTTTCATTTCTTTCTTATACGTTTCATGCCACCCTGCTTAGGCTTTATGCTTTACACGTTACTCTTATGATTTTACATTTCGGAGTGAGACATCTATGGCCTAAGTGCGAGACTCCGTTTTTGACGTTGTAGACTTCCTGTCATACTTTAATTTTTCTTACGTAAACTAGTCAACGAAATTCCTTCGTAACTTTCTACCTGCGAGCA